ACAAAATCCCCCCAAAATCCCCCAAAAATCCCCCAAATCCCCCCAAAAATCCCGAACCTCCTCCACGGCCGCCCCGAGCGCCCCAAAATCCGCGGGGCCCCTCCCCCACCCCAGGAAGCCGCGGCAGGAAACGGGGGGGGGGGAGGGGGGAGGGGGAGGGGCAGACGGAGACGCCGAGACCAAAATTTTGGGGGGTCCGGGATTTATTTTGGGGGGAAAAACCCCAAATTTGGGGTCGGGATCCCGAAATTTGGGGCTGGGGTCCCAAAATTGGGGCTGGGGTCCCAAAATTGGGGTGAGAATCTCAAAATTTGGGGCTGGAGTCCCAAATTTGGGGCTGGGGTCCCAAATTTGGAACTGGGGTCCCAAAATTGGGCTGGGAATCTCAAAATTTGGGGCTGGGGTCCTAAAATTTGGGGCTGGGACCCCCAAAAATGGGGGTTGGGAACCCAAAATTGGGCTGGGGTCCCAAAATTTGGGGCTGAGACCCCAAAACTGGGGGTTGGGAACCCAAATTTTGGGGCTGGGTCCTAAAATTTGGGGTTGGGACCCCAAAATTTGGGGTTGTGACCCCAAAATGCAGATTTGGGACCCCAAAATGTGGCTTTGGGACCCAAAATTTGGGTCTGGGGTCCCAAAATTTGGTGCTGAGACCCCAAAATTGGGGGTTGGGACCCCAAAATTCGGATTTGGGATCGCAACATTTGGGTTTGGGACCCCAAATTTGAGGTTGGGACCCCAAAATTTGGGAGGGGTCGGGATCCAAAAATTCAGGGCTGGGGTCCCAAAATTTGGGTCCAGAATCCAAAAATTTGGGTTTGGGAGCCCAAAATTCGAGGTTGGGACCCCCAAATTTGGGTGCAAAGTTCCAAAATTTGGGGTCAGTGACCCCCAAACGGAGCAGGTGACCCCTGGGGTGGTCAGTGTCCACTCTGAGTGAGTGACCACTGCTCTGGTCACTCCCAATGGTCACTCGGTCACTCTCCATGAGTGACCACAGCTCTGGTCACTCCCAATGGTCACTCAGTCACTCTCCATGAGTGAGTGACCACTGCCCTGGTCACTCCCAATGGTCACTCGGTCACTCTCCATGAGTGACCACAGCTCTGGTCACTCCCAATGGTCACTTGGTCACTCCCTGCTGGGTGACCACTGCCCTGGTCACTCCCAGTGGTCACTCGGTCACTCTCCATGAGTGACCACAGCTCTGGTCACTCCCACTGGTCACTTGGTCACTTCCACACCAGCCTATGGTCACTCCCAGTGGTCAGCGGTCACTCCAGCCAGCCTGTGGTCACTCCCAGCGGTCAGTGGTCACTCTCAGGCCAGCAGGTGGTCACTCCCAGGTGGTCACTCGCAGTGGTCACTCAGCGGTCACTCAGCGGTCACTCAGTGGTCACTCAGGGTCACTCAGTGGTCACTCAGTGGTCACTCAGTGGTCACTCAGGGTCACTCAGTGGTCACTCAGGGTCACTCAGTGGTCACTCAGCGGTCAGTGGTCACTCAGTGGTCACTCAGTGGTCACTCAGTGGTCACTCAGGGTCACTCAGTGGTCACTCAGCGGTCACTCAGTGGTCACTCAGTGGTCACTCAGCGGTCAGTGGTCACTCAGTGGTCACTCAGTGGTCACTCAGGGTCACTCAGCGGTCACTCAGTGGTCACTCTCAGGCCACGCCGTGGGCCGGGGGCAGTCTCCGTGTCCGGCCTCCGGCCTCGGTGTC